TTCATTTAAGCCAGCATTGTAGCCTGTTCATTTAGGTATCTAAGCAAGCCTGTATGTTTGGGCAATGTCTTTGCCAGCCAATTGACATGTATGGTGTCTTTTATCAGCTGCTTATTATATTTAAAGTATTGTGACATTGAAATACTTATGTTTATTTTAATTATCTTCTCATATAGATAAGGTACTTTCTAGAGATATCTGTTTTGTAATACAATTCAATTCATTGTATATTTGAAATTTTGAAGTATTTTGACATTGAAATACTTTTAAACTGTATGTTAAAAGTTCAAAATTCAAAGTAGGGAAAGAATTTTACAAAATCAACAAACTGAAGTTATATGTATATAAAAACAGCCACTTAATTCACACAATAATCTAAGAGGAGAATGGTTTGAGCTAATAATTGAATTTTTCAGGACTGTGATCAATAATATAGTATTTCATTGATCAAATATTGACTACTGGGTGTGATCTACACTGATGTAATTACATACTAGATAAACTCGTACAATCTTGTACATACGATGTACGTCTTACATTTACATGCATAATATATACATATCATTATATAAATATTGCATGTAGGACACTTACATGTTTATTTTAATTATCTTCTCGTATTATTATTATCTTAGGCGCATATAGATTAGGTACTTTCTAGAGATATCTATTTCGTAATATAATTCAATACATTGTATACTTGAAATTTGAAACCAAAAGCTGTATAATGAAATTTCATGGTGTCTTGTTGAATGGTCGGATGTAAGGGAAGTTTTATTTGTTGAATTTTGAGATGTTTTAATTAAATATAAGACAAATATGCATAAGATTGATTTCAAGCAATAATCGGGAAGAAAATAAAGGGTTTGGTAGTTCTGTACTTTTCTTTTTTTATACCCCTGCACAACAAAGTTGTAATTATACCCCTGCACAACAAAGTTGTAAGGGGGGTATACTGGAATCAGTTTGTCCGTCCGTCCGGCCGTCCGTCCGGCCATCCGTCCGGCGGTTTTTTCTTGTCCGCCCAATAACTCAAGATTCCTTTGACCCTTAGTCTTCATATTTGGCATGGAGGTTAGTCATGATTAGTACATGACCCCTATTGATTTTGAGGTCACTAGGTCAAAGGTCAAGGTCACAGGGGCCTTGACTTCAAAAAGCTTGTCCGCCCAATAACGTAAGATTTCTTTGACCTACAGTCTTCATATTTGGCATGGAGGTTAGTCATGATAAGTACATGACCCCTATTGATTTTTAGGTCAAAGGTCAAGGTCACAGGGGCCTTGACTTCAAAAAGCTTGTCCGCCCAATAACTTAAGATTCCTTTGACCCACAGTCTTCATATTTGGCATGGAGGTAAGTCATGATTAGTAGATGATCCCTATTGACTTTGAGGTCACCAGGTCAAAGGACAAGGTCACAGGTACTTTGACTTCAAAAAGCTTGTCCGCCCAATAACTTAAGATTCCTTTGACCCACAGTCTTCATATTTGGCATGGAGGTTAGTCATGATTAGTAGATGACCCCAATTGACTTTGAGGTCACCAGGTCAAAGGTCAAGGTCACAGGGACTTTGACTTCAAAAAGTTTGTCCAACAATTAACTTAAGATTCCTTTGACCCACAGTCTTCATATTTGGCATGGATGTTGATCATGACTATAAGGTGACCCCTATTGATTTTGAAGTCACTTGGTCAAAGGTCAAGGTCACAGGGACCTTGACAAAAAAAAAAGCTTTTCTTCTCAATTGCTTAAGAATGTCCTTTCCGCAATGTATTGATTTTGACATTTTCACATTTGAAGCACGTAGAATACATAACTTAGCAATGCACTGGCTAAGTAACCTCAGATTTGGCAGGGAGGTTGTCCTTGAGCTCTTAAAGGCCACTGTTGATTCTGACAAAGTGGTATGCGGGGGTATTCAGGCCATGATAGTGGCAGTTCTAGTTTAACCAAATATAATTTTGTACATAAAGAAAAAGACAAAATCTGTTTTTAGAAAATTTAAATGTCTTGTTGGTTTTTCCATTCAGAAAGTTGTGTCATCAAAATGATCTTTATTAAAAAGGTAAAAACATAGACATATTAGGATGCATAGGGGACTTACCAATATTTTAATTTATTATTTTTTTTTTAATTTATCTTCTTCATTACCGTTTTCAAACAACCATTTTTCTTGACAGAATTTATGAATTCAAAATTTCACTTAAATTGAATTGAAAAATTATAAGATGGTTTAAACTGTAATGAAAATACATGTATTAGTCAGTTTTTGCAAACTGGATCACTTTTAACTTAAGTCTGACATTAAATATAGTGGTCACATTATGTTCTGGTAACTTATATTGTCATAATATTGATATATCACTCTTGTCCAAGTACACCGATTATTAACTTTCTGTTTCTATTCATTTTATTATTTAAGGTACTTTACATACATTTTTATCATTAAATATATGGTTTTTATCATGGACTTAAGTCATTAGGGTTCTTACAATTTGTGATTTTTGGCTACATTTCATTATTTACACATGTTTAAATGTGACCTAAATCCCCCTTCAAGTTAAATGGACCTTTACTCTGTAAATATTTAATCTTTCTGATCTGTTTCTAATTGGAGTATACCATTTATCGATAAAGGTCATTTCACCTGTGTGTCACAGAAATGTTTACTTTGTGATATTGTAAAATATAAAATCGTTTCTAATTATAAATTGGTGTATATTTAATGGATTTAAGAGACGTATATATACGGGAATCTGTGCATTGCCGATATAGGTTTTCTTTAAATGGTGTTGAATTCGAGCCATTCTATTTTAACTGATATTGAATGAAAGGGTAACAAAAAATGTTTGAAATTAATTTACTCCGTTGAATAAAGGTTTATGAATATTCAAGCAGGTATCTTTTATGGCACGTAATTAAGTACGAAGTATTACGAGGAACGAGGGTTTTCTTTAAATGGAACATGTTTTAACATTACATCATAAAGGAATGCGAAGTGTTCATGATTTTATATCAGCTGGATATTATGTCAGGTTTTAACATTTGAAATTTTGATTTGAAAATTCCGATTTATAATCTGTTTGTTAAAGAAGATGTGTAAAATTGATTGTCACAAGTGCGATTAAAATGCCCTCTATTGTGTTTAACAATGTACAGTACAAAGATTTAAATTAAACAGTGAATCTGATGGACTGCCATGAATAGGTCATAATTGTTGTTAAAGTTTTGTAATGGATTTAATCCATTGAAGAGAGGAAAAAAAACAAGTTGAAAGAATGCCAATGTTTGTACTATAAATGTTAAATTATTTTGGACATCCTTCAAGAAAAGATTAAGTTAGGATCGAACGGTCAGATTTGTTGACATTCGGTTCATTAGAAGAGGCTATGGGCTGTATTTATACATGAAGACAATAGATCAGTTATTGACACTGCTAGTCATGTTAGGGTTAAAGTGTCACATACATGGCAAAAGTTTGGTAATATTTATATAGGCAATGTTATGTATGTTGACTGAATGGTGTGAAACGTTTTTGTTAAGATCAGTATAATTGGTTCGGAATAGCTGTTGAAGGATTTGCTACATGGGATAAATGACATATCAATAAATTTATTGTGTTTTTATTTTTATTTTAAGTAAGTGATATAAAGAAGCTATAAGGTATAGTGTGTGTTAGTGTGTGTGAAAATAGTTTATTTAATATCCTTACACGGAAAGCTGACTTTTGTAAGAAGATTTACGGCTGATCCGCTAGCCACTAATGCTGTAAATCCATTGTTTGGGTTTCGGTAATGCCTTTATAAGATTTTTACCTTACCAGAGGTTCCAATCCTCAGCAGAAAGTGGTTTTATGATTTTAAATCATTGGTTGACATTGTTGTGCAATATAAATTAAAATAACTGTGTAATCTCCAAGTATGTACAAAGTATGACATTTTTTTGGAGCAATGTAAATATTCAAAGATTAGATTTTCCATAATAAGTGGTTTGAAATTTGAAATTCAGGGGAAAAAACGATTTGATGATAATGATATAGTTAAAGCTAAATATTGCAATGGAAAATCATGGAGAAGATGATTTTGTGAAATAAAAAGGTAACAGATATGATCGGCTGAAATTCCATACTATTTTTGTATGTTTTTCGTTACTTCAAGTTTTGTAAGTTTTTCGTTACAAGTTGTTGTAAAGAATTGATGTGAAAATACTTAATTGACTATTTACCTATTTCTCATCAGATAAAAGGAGTTTATTTTGAAAAGCAATTGCATCTATTATTTGAAAGTTTGTGTTGCATGGGAAAATTAGTAGTGTGTTACCATGCACCAATTTAGGCCTGAATTATTATAAATTACATAGTGGCTTCAAATTACTGAACACCCTTAGGCAATGAAGTGGATTTAATTTTTTTACCGTTTGTGTAATTTTGCTAAATGGGAAAATGTGTGAGACACGTTTTCCTTAAATAGGCTTACATAGCTTTACAATGACATACTTGACAAGGCTGTATTAAACTACTGAAATTAAAATGTTTGAAATTTGTATATAAATTTTTTAAGGTTATTACATATTGATGTATTGATATTGATGTAAACTAAAAAAAAATGGAAGTGAAGTGTTCATTGGACGTGACATAATGAAGTTTTAAGAAGGCCTTGGTATCCCGTAACTCCTCATACTTACAATAAGGGAAGACGTTTATAATAATAAGTTTTAAAATGAAGGAAACATGTCAGCTGCATGTTATAATGTGTACAGTTGTCAACAGTTCTCGAAATAAATAATCCCGCATTTACATCAAGGAAATTATAATATCTGAATTTTTGGATTATAATATAACGCATTTACACCTTGTACGAATTGTATTGGGAGGAGAGGGAGACAAAAAATGACAGCAGGAAGTGGGCTGGTGTATGAAACAATGGTGTTGAAGTAAAGGTGCATTAGAACTTAATGTTAAAGGTGAATTTTCCGTCCATTTTATTCTGTGATATAAAATATTTCCAAATATGGATTTTGATGAAGACGATGAAGTGTTTTTATCCAATGAGATTGAAGCAGAATTAGAGAAAGACTTGTGGTCGTCTCCGTTAATGAATTATAGTTCACCATTTGATGATTATAAGGATTTATATGCAGATATAGATACGCCAAAATCTCGTCATAGCTCCAGTCGATTGCCAGTGCCAGTTGATATAGGTAGGTATTTTTGCTACATACTTAAATTCACCATGCAGAGTAAATAAAATATGACAGAGAATTTATATGAGAAAATGTAGATTTTTGATTCTTTTATAGAGCAAGCCTTAAGTTGTCAGTTTATTCTTTCTTGTATCATAGTTTGGGAACCTTTCTGTTGAAAATGTGTCTGAGTTAAATCGAATACATATACATGCACAGTGCGTTAACTGGAGTGCAGGTATTAGTTACCTGCACTCCAGAGCAAGCCCATTGATTGGCTCATTTTTACTGGGGTTTACTTATTGTGACGGAAAAGAAAGGGAAAGCGATAGAAATATCATATTCAGATGCTCGTTCATTGGTTACTTTTTTCTGGGGATTCACAGGGAACATGTTTTTATGTTTGACTATGATACAAATGAGAAAGAACATCAAAATACTCAGCAATCTGATTAATACTCAAATACTACAAATGAGATAGCCTTCAGTGTTTTGATGCTCTTTCTATTATCCTTTTGACTTTACATTCAGAAATTAGGGCAAAGCTTTGTGTTCTTAATTTGAGGCAGAAAGTATTGCAGTTTATCAAGAATTCACTTCAGTGAAGGGAGGGGTCAATAGTCATTCTCCAGTGTTAGGTCTGATGTTGGTGCTAACAAAAGTCGATTATATTTTTAGTATGATTTGTGGAAATATTACCTAACCTCCTTCAAAACATCCAGCTAAAAAGCCAAAACGTCAACTATGTGACAACACATGACTAATGCTTAGTTCCGTTGGTAGTCTGTTCCAAAAATGGCATCAATGAAAAAATATATTTTTAGGCGAAGTACCCAACCTGTTGTTGTTTTGATGCCATTTCATTATGTGAACAGATCAAACATTGATTTGTATCTTAACAACTTGTTATCATGTTACTTTTTTGATAGAAAATGTGAGAAAAGAGGAGAAAGGTGTTAATTCTGCATTCATGTTATTATTACACATCATGATATGGGCCTGGCTGACAAAACCAAACCTTCTTTCTGTGTTAATTTAGGTGCTGATATATCCTATACAAAGTAACTGCATTAAAATTGTAAACATCTTTACAGATATTGTTTCATGCATTAAAGCAGCATCCCTCCAGATTCATACTAAGTTTCATGAAAATTTTGAAAATGCATTAAAAAGTAAAATTGCGAAGTGAAGAAAGAAAGTAATTTACTCACTGCCAATGGCTCTTACAATCCATGTAACTTACCAAAAAGAGGTCAAAATATGCAAAAATACCCCTTACTGCTTTAGTAACCCTGTAGAAATACCATATGATGATATATACTTCAAAATCAGTCATTAATCTTACAAAATATGTCAATTATTGCTTGAATCTTGATTCTTTTTACTTTTCAAAAAATCATAGAGTTTGATTTTCTTGAAATATTTTGGCATAGGCTCTGGAGGTATGCAGCTTTAAAATTGTATCTTTTTTGTTCTTACCACGTATCAATGCAAAGGATAAGGGGTATTCTCTTAGAAAAATGCTGTTTCATTTTCTTACATTATTTCTTGTATTTTAATAGCATAAAAATTTGTTTGTCATGGAAAATTGTATCATTAAATTTTGTTATAGACTTTATAGACTTAAAAAGTGAAAGAAAATGATTCAAGAATGCATTTACTGCTGTGCTTTTAGTTCATTCAATAAGGCGTATCCTAATTAGGTTATTAAGTAAGATTGAAACTTTGATTGTTTGGCAAGTTTAAGGCACTTACAGCTCTAAGGTAGACCTACCACCACCTTTAGGACATAAAACACTTTTGTTTGATACCTTATCTGGAAAAATTAATTGCTGTTTTATTATGTCATTTAAACTGGTATTTGAAAATAACGAGTTTTTTTTTTTTTTGGTTTTTGGATTAAATACGTTTTCTGAATGAAATAACTTTCTGTAAAAGAATATAATTGTTTAGGTTTTTATGCTAAATGACAAATTGTAAAAGTAATAAGATTTTGGGAAAGACCAATTAAAATCTAATTTGTTGTGACTTACAACATTTCAACAACATTTTCTTTGCCCCAATTCTGTATTTTTAGCTCGACTATTCGATAAGAATAAGTAGAGCTATTGCAGTCACCCGAGCGTCGGCGTCGGCGTAACCACTTATGTTAAAGTTTTTGTAATAGTTCAAATATTTTCAAAGTCCATTGACATATGGCTTTGAAACTTTGCACACTTGTTCACCATCATGAGCCCAACCTGTAGACAGGAGGAGGTAACTCTATCAAGCATTTTGACAGAATTATGCCCCTTTTTCGACTTAGAATTTACGTTAAAGTTTTTGTAATAGTTCAAATATTTTCAAAGTCCATTGACATATGGCTTTGAAACTTTGCACACTTGTTCACCATCATGAGCCCAACCTGTAGACAGGAGGAGGTAACTCTATCAAGCATTTTGACAGAATTATGCCCCTTTTTCGACTTAGAATTTACGTTAAAGTTTTTGTAATAGTTCAAATATTTTCAAAGTCCATTGACATATGGCTTTGAAACTTTGCACACTTGTTCACCATCATGACCCCAACCTGTAGACAGGAGGAGGTAACTCTATCAAGCATTTTGACAGAATTATGCCCCTTATTCGACTTAGAATTTACGTTAAAGTTTTTGTAATAGTTCAAATATTTTCAAAGTCCATTGACATATGGCTTTGAAACTTTGCACACTTGTTCACCATCATGAGCCCAACCTGTAAACAGGAGGAGGTAACTGTATCAAGCATTTTTTTTACTATCAAGCACTAAGAATAGTCAAGCGTTGCTGTCCTTCCGACAGCTCTTGTTTTTTTGTTTACAATGGAAAAAATAATTATGCTTCAAAACATAATAAAAACCAATGACAGGTTTTATAAGAGCAAATAATTTTAGTCAATAATCAGATAAAATTGTTTGACATCTAGTAAGCCTTAAAACAATAGCTAAATAGATAATGGTAGTATATTCAGATTACAAATAAGGTCATGGGTCATAATCACTTTATCATATGATATCGGGCACAAAAAACTTTTTTTGGTAATTTCTGAACTCCTTATGTAGGGGACTTTGGCGCTGTTCACTGATAAATTAAGGACATTTTTTAAGTATCTGGACCTATGGTTACATGTTCCTAGATTTAACAACTTTTATACTAAGGTGGCCATTGGATTAATATTTGAGCCGCGTCACGACAAAACCAACATAATGGGTTTGCGACCAGCATGGATCCAGACCAGCCTGCGCATCGGCACAGTCTGATCAGGATCCATGCTGTTCGCTATCAGTTTCTCTACTTTGTTATAGAGTTTGTAAGCGAACAGCATGGATCCTGATCAGACTGCGCGGATGCGCAGGCTGGTCTGGATCCATGCTGGTCGCAAACCCATTATGTTGGTTTTGTCGTGACACGGCTCATTTTGTGATAGTATTACTGAATGCTATGAGATGGTTCAATTCAAATCTTTTACAGTCATTGACTATATCAACAGTCGCATTCATGTATAAAATAAGTATTACAGGCTGCTGAAGGTAATAGGATGAAACGTTCCCTCCAAGACAAGTAACATCTCGATTGACGTCATGGTATAATGGTTGAACTTTTTGTTTTATCACCCTCATTAGGATATGATAATTTATTTATTATCAATATTCCAGATTGACATTTCAAACAATACTAATAACAAAAACATGGCACCTGTTTTGCCAAGTGGTGACATTTCAGATTGTTACCTACGTAAGCTCTGACATATAAAACTATATTAATTAAATCGTTTGAAGTACAAATAGTTATGTTTGACATCATTGGTGACTTTTGCTCATGTATATAGATAAATTATGTTATGAGTGGTCTTACCCTCTGACAAGGTTCTATACTGTTGGCATACTTATTTTGATTTTTAGCTTGACTATTTGAAGAATAGGTAGAGCTATTGTACTGAACCTGGTGTTGATGTCAGTGGTACTGTCATGCTTTGGTTAAGTTAAGTTTTGTGTTCAAGTTGGTTTCTCCAAGGGAATGGGTGGAAACTTCACTTATCTTGGTCTTTGTGATTATCTAATAAGTTGGGCATTATTAGGTCCCGTAACAGAAATTAAGTGCACGTTGGATTGTTGAATGTTTGTAAAAGGTGAAGAAAAAAAAAGCAAACTATTTGAGAACTTATTGAGAAATGTCAAACACGTGGATATATATCGTAAAAGGTTTTGTTTCCTTTGATTCTTAATGACAGAAGCTGGTACTTCTTGTGTCCCAACTGATTTATGTACCTTCTCATTTTGTATGATAGGCCGCGTAAGGGCCTGGCTGTAGAAAGTAAACTACCATTCGTTGGAGACTACAATTATGATTGAAGTTTACATAGAAACAAACTTAGTAACCAGTTGATGACTGTGTTTTAGGTTCAAAATATTATCCTTTCTTCTCTTACTGGTTTGAATTCCACATGGGATACATGTTGAATTTAGTCAATGAATTTTGTTGGTATTGCTCTAAATTACCCACTTGTAGTTACATGGAGCAGTGACTGTGATTTACATCCACTGCACTGGCTCCCTTTAACCCTAACTTGCCCCAAAGAAGCAAATAACAAAGTTGGTAAATTTTATTTGCCATACACTTGATATATTGAGGTTTGTATAGTTGTATAAAAATATATAAACATCATTGATTGATTAAAAGTTGGCACAATATCTAGTTCAGGTGATAGATCTTGTAACTGAATTAACCTTGGAAGTCAACCAGAAGTGATTGAATAACCGTCACAATTAACTTATATAGCAGTAGGGGAGGTAATATAATGGATATAGTCCGTTGAAACATTTATGCAGTATGTTTTCAGTTAACTCCCATATTATTCGACACTTGAAATTTGACATAAAGACGTTTTTATATCTGTTTTATAAAGTGTTTTACATGGTAAATGAAAAGGTTATTTAACAATGAAGCTTTAACCCATTGTGAATCATGAAAGGTTTTATTAATGAACAAGTTGGCATTGTAG